GGTGAAGTCCTGGCCCCAAAGAGCACAGCCAAAACCCTGCTGGTGGCCCGGCCTGCTTTAAACACTGCTCTCGCAGGCTCCGCTCTGGGGCACCATCAGCGAGACCGGCCCAGTGGGGAAGGGTATGTGCACAGGGAGGTCTTTTGTGGTTTCATGTGGATGCAGACCCTGGTTGGGGCAGTAGGGCCTGGACGTGAGAAGCAGGGGATCTCAGTTCTATTCCCAGCGCTGCCATGGGTGCTTTGGGGCTCAGTGACCCCTCGGTGCAGTGCTCGGAGGTCTGTGCGAGTAAGGAGCTGTGCGGTACGAAGTACAGCCCTAGCCGTCCTGCCGCGAGCAGGGGGCTGCACGGAGTGGTCCCCGCCTAGGAGAGGTTACAGAGGCCTATCTGAACCATCTGCCTTGGCAATATGGGCACAGCAGGTTTCTCCAGAGGTGTCTGCTTCTGGTCTGGCTGAAAATTGCCTGAGAAGAGCCCCTCCGGTCCGGTATTCGCAGCCCTTTTGTGTCTGGCCTCGGAGGGATCCCGGCAGCGCAAACGGCTGGCCAGGAAAGGGAGCGGCACGGGGGATACATCAGCACTTGGGCTCCTCTTCTGCACGAGTGCATATTTTCCAGTCTGACCTGCCCATCCCTCCTAGAGAGGGTGCTTATCTCCTGGCCAGAAATGAGCTCTGCTGAGCAGACTCAGCGCACAAGCAGCAGGGAGCAAGCCCGGAGGGGCCTCAGGAGAGGGCCTGGATGACCTAAAAGCGCTCAGATTTCTCTGATTCATCGTGCACAGGCCAGAGAGGGCTCCCAGCAGCTGGATTTCCTTTTGTGCTGACATTTCCAAACTCGTTGGGCCAGATTTCTCCCTTCCCCCCCATAGATTCAACCACCTCTCTAGGTTTCCAGGTCACTCAGACATTGCAGTCATGAGCGTGCTGTCTATCGATTGGCCTGCAGCCCAGCGGCAGAGACTGACGGGCCCGCTGTTCCGGGTTTCACCCCGTGCCCCTGGGCGTCGACTCCCCGATGAAGGACATTTTCTCTCCTGCTCTCTGCAAAGTCCGGGTCCCTCCCAGGGTCAAGGGAGCTGTGCAAGAGCCAGGAGTAAGCCTTTGGAACGACAGACTTGAGAATTTTGCCCTGGGGAACCAGAGCTGTGGGTGAGAGATGGGCCAGAAGCCAACCGAAACCTGGGCTTGTTTGCAGACCGACGGTTACGCCATCGCACTGTGGCTGGGTCTAACCTCCAGGGCCACAGGCGGCAGGGAAATGTTCGCGAAGCTGCAGGGTGCAGGGAGGATTATATTGGCGGTGCAGAGCATACGTTCCCCCGGAGGCCGTGAACTGCTCGTACGTGTCTCGACGCGCTCATGAAGGGTCGCATGCGGCGAAGCAGGAGCCATGCGGAGCAGGAAGGCAGCTAGGTGGTCGGGTGCTTGGCGCCACACAGGTCAGACCCCAGCGAAGCACTTGGGTCTTTTGCATGGTTCCCTGGACAGACTCCTGGCCCTCCATCGCACAGGCCCCAGCTTTCTCTCAGCACTGGCTGGGCCACAACAGCCAGACAGAGGCAGCCATGGGAGAAAGCCCTGGGTGCTGGTTTCTGGAGAGGTCCCAGCAGTGGGCTGGAAAGTGGAGCTCCGCAGCGGGCCTCCTAGGGCACGTCTACACAGCAGGGCTAAACTCGACATAAGCTGCCCACCTCGAGCGACGCTAATTGTGTAGCGTCAGTCAAAAGAGCCCATTTCGAAGTTGGGTGCGTCGACGCAGCACTCATTTCGAAATAGAGCCCTCTTCCCCCCCGCGCCCCTTACTCCTCCTACAGACAGGTTCACGGAAGTCGGAGTAAGAGGCTCGTTACCGCGCTCACCAAGTCGTTTCGGAATAAATAACGCTGCTGTGTAGACGTACCCTTAGGGACTGGGAACAGGCCGAATAGGAACCGGCATCTCCTCCCACCACCACTGCTTCGGGAGAGTCGCTCCAGATTCCGCCGGCGGCAGCAAAGAGCCAACTCAAGTCTGCTGCCTCTTGTCTCCCACCGCAGGGGACAGGAAGAAAAGGGGAGAGAAAGCGGCTTTTCGGATGCTCACGACGGGAATGCAGGATCCAGCTCCACAGGGCTCCCTTGAGTCAGACGCTGCCCTGGATTGCTGGGGCATGCTAACACAGCCTGGAAAGATGCTCTGGGTAGATTCCAGCCAGCCTGCCAGGGCAGTGAGAGAGAAGCAGCCGCTCCCATGGTGACCGGGCTGCGTGCTGTGTGTTCTTCCAGTAAGAAGGGCTTTTAAACGAAGTTTTAAACGTGTGCTACCAGCCGACGCCAACCTACACCCATGGCAGGTCCCTCCTTGTTCAAACCCCCTTCCCGTGCTCATCACAGTCCTGGCACTTTCCTCTGCAGAGGTGGGAAAAGCTTTTCCAGGCAGCTCACCAGATTTCAGCTACACCCAATGCCTCTTTGTTTGTGCCAAGTCTGGTCCTTCCACCGTGGGACCAGGGATTCAGTTCTGGCCAGCCCACGAGGGAGGGGAGAATTCTGAGCAGGTCCTGGAATGGGGCGAGGGCAGTTCTGGATTCATGCAGGACCCACAGCGCCAAAGCCCTGATCCCCGTGTGCCAACACTGCACAGCTCCAAAGAGCTCTGCCTGGTCCCTAGCACGCCGCGAGGTAAGTGCTTCCAACACACATGCCCAGGATGCAGCTGCAAAGCAAGAAACAGGACCCAGGCCATGCCATCTGCAGGCACATCCCATACGCTTCTTCAAGGGCTCTCAACACTTGGCTCCTCCTCCCTACTGCGGCTCTCAACGCACTTGGCACGTTGCAAGTCCAGCCTCACTCGCGAGGGAGGTGAGCGTGCCCGGCCCTATTTTACACAGGAGAGAAACTGAGGCACATGACGTGACTTGGGATGTAACCTTGAGCCAGGTGGTAGCAGAGCAGAGAACAGAGCATCCGTGTCTGATGCTCTAACCACTAGCCCATCCCACCCGTCTCTCTCAGGCCAGGAAAGTTCAGCACCCCATTCTGCTCGCGGCTTGGGGGCTCGGCCCAGGCCTGCCAGCTCCGCTTACCTGAGTTTTTGTTCTGAAGCAGGAATTCCATCTGCAGCCTCTGTCCAGCCTGCTCTGCTATGGCCGTGGGGGTCGGGAAGTCGGGGTCCCCAGAGTTGCAGCTCACCTCCGCTCCACAGAACACCAGGGACTGAGTTTCCGCCACGTCGCTGGTCGTCACGGTAGCGCACAGGGCCTGCAGCAGGGCAAGGAAGGCAAGAGACCAGTCCAGTCGCTGCTGGAGACACAGAGATGGGGGCAGAGCATCCACTGAGAATGACAAAGCCCCCTCACCCGCGAAAGCCAGGGCGGGGGGACGGCTCTAAGCTGAACTCAGCAAAACAGGCTGGAACAAACTATCGACGGAGGCTGAAAGCCCGCAGGCGAGGGCTGTGAGACTGCTGTAGCAGAGAGCTGATTTGCAGGCCAGCTAGGGAAGGGAAAGGGGCTTGAAGTGGGGGAGAAAGTTTGGAGCGGCTTTGGTTTTAAACCCTCCTAAAGGAGCCTCGGGTGAAGTCATACAACCAGAGGGTGGGACAGCAGCCGCTGGCCAGAGAGAAAACAAGCAAGCCCACAGGAGGAATTCCAGAGCGCCTCTCCGGCCAGCCAAGAGACGGCGGAGGGCGGGGACTGGACTTTCTAAGCAAACAAAAATACAAAGCCCAGGAGTGAAAGCGGCTGCAATCTGATACGGCCAGCCTGGTTTCTGTTGTCCTCCAGCCCAGTTGCTGCTCCCACACTCCTTCCTCACCATCAGCGTGAAGCAAAAGGAAAAAGTTCAAAAGTTAATTACTACCCCCACCCCCACCCCCACCCCCAATTTTGCCTGGGGCATGGAAAAAAAATCAACTTTCCTGACACCAGCAGTTACCAGTGAGGGCTTCAAGGTGTCTCTTAAAGGGAGGCTCTGCACAGCTCTCTGAAATTTGCTCGTTTAAAATATTTCAGCTCCCTGACAGAGCCCCTGGGAAACAGCCTGCGCTGAAAGAATTCCTTTAGAACCATATCACAGGGGCTTGCCTGCTGCCCTGCGGTATTTAGAAGGGTCGCGGGGAGAAGAGGGAGGATAGCACTGCAACGCCCTCTGGTGGCTGGGTCTTTAAAGGATAACAGCTTACTACTGCTACCAGCCGAAGAAGAAATTATTTCTCAAGCAGCAGAGATCTGGGCTACAGTGCTAATGACCCTTCCAAGGTGGCAAGTTGAGCCCCAGTAGACTTCACTCGCTTGTTGTGACTGGCCAGCAACAGGACATCTTCTAGTGACCCAGTGGCCTAATGGTTAAGGTGTCAGCCTCCAGAGCTGGGGATTCTGGGCTGGAGTCGCAGCTGGATTGTGTTGATATCGTGTTTACTCATAGACTTTAAGGTCAGAAGGGACCATTATGATCATCTAGTCTGATCCCCTGCACAGTGCAGGCCACAAAATCTCACCCACCCCTCCTAAAATAATCCTCTCACCTATATCTCAGATATTGAAGCCTTCAAATACTTTGAAGACCCCAAGATGCAGAGAATCCTCCAGCTGTGATCTGTACCCCATGCTACAGAGGAAGGCGAAAAACCTCCAGGGCCTCTGCCAATTTCTCTATAGTAACTCTTATCATCCCTCCATTGACCTATTTCCCACTGATAATGAATGGTCAATTAGTTACCAAGATCCTGTTATCTCATCAAACCATCCCCTTCATAAACCCATCTAGTTTAATCTTGAAACCAGCTAGAACTTTTGCCCCCACTACTTCTCTTGGAAGGCCGTTCCAGAACCTCACTCCTCTAATGGTTAGAAACCTTCGTCTAATCTCAAGTCTAAACTTCCTACTAGCCAGCTTATATCCATTTGTTCTTGTGTCCACATTGGTATTAAACTTAAATAATTCCTCTCCCTCCCTGGTATTTATCCCTCTAATATATTTAAAAAGTGCAATCATGTCCCCCCTCAGCCTTCTTTTGGTTAAAGTAAACAAGCCAAGCTCCTTGAGTCTCCTTTCATAAGACAGGTTTTCCACTCCTCGGATCATCCTAGTGGCCCTTCTTTGTACCTGTTCCAGTTTGTTTGTCTGGCAGAAGGCAGGACTGGGCAATAGGGGATGGATCGCTTGTTGTTCAATGGGCTTAAATGACAGCAAGGGAGGTTTAGGTTGGACATTTTTCCTAATGTCTTCATTCAAGCTGATTAAACACTGGAATAAGTTGCCTAGGGAGCTTGTGGAATCTCCATCACTGGAGATATTTAAGAGCAGGTTAGACAAGGGATGATCTAGACAGTGCTTGGTCCTGCCGTGAGGGCAGGGGATTGGACTTGATGACCTCTCGAGATCCCTTCCAGCTCTAGTGCTCTAGGACTTAAGCAACATATATTAGGCGGCACAATGCGTGAATCCTATTGCCCTTTGGTGGCTGGGCCATTAGTAGGTAAGAGCTTATTACTGCTAGAGGAGCTACTCCCTTCGGTCAAACCTGCTTTGGTGCTGATTGAAACATCCTGGTTCCAACCTTGCTGCTCATACACGAGTGAGTGTGGAGGGGGGGGGTCATTACACATGTCCGACCAATCTTGCCCCCTGCCCTGCTATTGCCCCTATGACACTCATGAGCCCCCCAGCTTCGCAGAAGGAGCTTGCAAGGAGCTACCCACTCCAAAGCCAGTGTTCAGGGACTGCCAACTCCTGGAATAGACCCGAGGCCCCATGCACACAAATACTGATCGGCAGAGCTCTGCAGAGGGTAAGGTGCCTGTGAGAGGCCCAGTTCTCGAGCTGTTGGTCAGTAAGACCTGTTCTTTTCAGGCCAAGCAAAGCCACTAGTCCTCAGTGAGGACGGGATCTATGCCCAATGCAAGTTTCACTCTGTTCTGTATGGTCCTTTGGACTGCGTGCAAGGGAATTCCACTGCCAGCTCCCTGCATTGCCCTGAGCCAGCAGCCATCTGGTAAACAGCAGATTGCAGCAGAAAGATGCTCTGGGTCATTGCCCTTCCCCAAAGGCACTGCACCCAGCATCCTTGGGGAGTGACTAGCGACGGCGCATGTGGCACTCGGGGAGCCTAGGACTTCTCTCTTCCTGTAGCATGGGGAGTGCGGAGCCCAAAAGGCCATTTGGGCTCCGCGGTCCCCCGAGTGAGAGGCAGGAGGGGGGGGGGGGAGCAGGAGGCGGACGAGAGACAGAGACGGAGCGAGAGACTGGAGGCTCAGGAGAAAAGACCGACATGGAGGAGAGACCTGAAAATCCCGTCTTATTACAGGCTAATTGTCTAGTATCTACATAAAAGTAAAATACAAAACCCCAAAGGGGGACATCAAACCTGCTAAAACACCTCAAGAGGTGGGACACACATACTCACACACAACTAAACACCAATAAAAGCCCAGGTAAAAAGGGTGGCCTTGGCCTAGCACCAAAACAGTTGCCAACATTGGCGCCAGGCAAATGTCCCAGGAGAGAGAATTCCACAGCCTGGGAGCAAAGGCTGAGAAGGCCCTGCTGCGCGTAGATGTCAACCGTATCTCCATAAGTGGAGGCACACGGAGCAGAGCCTCCCCAGTAGACCTCCATCCCCGGGCAGTTCGTATGGGAAGAGATGGTCCTGCAAATACCCCAGTCCCAACCCATTTATGCCTTTATAAGTCATAACCAAGACCTTGAATTGTGCCTGGGAACATATCGGAAGCCAGAGCAGCTGCCGGAGCAGCGGCATAGCATGCGCCGTATAACGAGTGTTAGTTAAAACTCGAGCAGCTGCATTCTGGACCAGTTGAAGCATCTGAAGATGCTTCAAAGGCAGCCCCACGCAGAGCGCCTTGCAGTAGTCTAATGGGGATGTGACAAAAGCATGAATCACCATAGCCAGGTCGTTCTTCTTCAGGAAGGGTCGCAGCTGGTGGATCAGCTGGAGCTGCCCAAAAGCCCTCCTGGCCACCGAAGAAATCTGGTTTTCAAATGTTAGAAAAGGGTCCAGGAGGACTCCCAAGCAGTGCACTGTTCTTTCAAGGGGAGTGTGACCCCTTCCAGAACAGGTAATGCACCACATTCCCGGACAGGTGGCTTCCTAATCCACAGGATCTTGGTCTTATCTGGCTTCAGTTTCAGCCTGTTCGACCTCATCCAGTCCATCACCGCCTCCAGAGACCAGTTCAGATCAGTCACTGCCATACCTGGATCCGATGTCAGAGAAATCGAGTTGGGTTTCATCTGCATATTGATGGCACCATCCTCCAGATCGCCTTACAACCTCTCCCAGCGGTTCCATGTCGTTGGGTTTCATCTGCATATTGATGGCACCATCCTCCAGATCGCCTTACAACCTCTCCCAGCGGACCCATGTCGATGTTAAACAGCATAGAGGACAAGATGGAACCTTGCGGGATCAATCACCATGGGGTCGAACAGCAGCCCCCTAGCTCCACCTTCTGAAAGCATCCAGACAGGTAGGACCGGAACCACTGCAAGACAGTGCCTGCGATATCCAACTCCACCAGGCACTCCACAAGGATACCACGGTCGAAAGCCTCCCAGAGGTCTAAGAGAATCAACAGGGACACACTCGCCCTGTCTGGCTCCCAGCATAGGTCGTCTACCAGGGCGATCAAGGCAGTTTCTGTTCCAAAACCTGGCCTGAAGCCAGACTGAAATGGATCTAAATTATCCGTTTCTTCCAAGAAAGCTTGGAGTTGCAACGCCACCACCTGCTTGAGGACCTTGCCCAAGAAGGGAATATTAGCGACCGGGCGATAGTTATTTACATTGTGTGGGTCCAAGGAAGGCTTCTTAAGGAACAGCTTTATCACTGCCTCTTTCAAGGCAGCGGGAACCATCCTGGATGTAAAAGTCACATTGATAATCCCCGGGACCCAACCAGTCATCTTTTCCTGGCTTGATTTCATAAGCCACGAAGGGCTGGAGTCGAGCGAGCACGTGATAGGTCGCAGTCCTCCAAGCACCTTGTCCACATTTGCAAAAGCTGAAACTGATCCAAAGAAAAGCGACTGGGCAGTGCGCTCAACACATTCCGTACCCCGCTCGCAGGACAGCCAGAGTCCAAGTCAGGCCGGATCGGAGTAACCTTAGTTGCAAAGGGCTTCGCAAACAAGTCGCAGTGAATTGCTGAGGACTCCTCCATCTCATCAGGAGGGAACAGGCTGTAAGAGGCCTTGCACCACTTTAAACAATTCCACCGGATGCCACTGTGCACACGTGATGCGGGCAGAGAACTCTCCTTCGCTGTCAGCGCCGTCACAGAACAGGCTCGCAACTCAGCTCTAACTCACAATTGACCCGGTTCAAATTCTCCTCCAGAGCCGTGTAAGGGCGCTCTAGCCCTCGCACGGCCCGTTTCTCCGCCTGCAACTCCCCAGAAAACCAGGGCCAAACTTGGTTTGACTAGCCCGAAAAGGGCGCTTAGGAGCAATCATGTTCACTGCTTGGGCTACCTCGATGTTCCATATATCGCCCAGGGCATCGACAGGACCACTAGCCATAATGGCTGAGATCTCAGGAAACCCTCTGGACCCATCAGCCTCCAAGGGCAGCCCATCTTAATCAGTCCCCCGCCTGTGCGGAGGGGGAGATCAGCAAATAGTCTAAACTTGACCAGGTAGTGATCGGTCCATGACAAAGGGAGTGTAACTCCATCCCATACCACACTAAAACTAACCCTGGAACTTTCCCTTGCAACAAACCCCGTTGCCAGCTTTGTCCACATATTTTCTCTGGAGACACCATCACTGGACCTAACCATGTCAGTTATATGATCAAGGGGTCATAGTCCTGTACATCCAGCAATGTGATATATGCCATCATGTGCCAACAATGTCCCTCTGTGATGTATATTGAACAAACTGGTCAGTCACTTCGCCAGAGAATTAATGCTCACAAAAATCAGACATCAGACATCTCCAACAGAAAAACCTGTTGGCCTACATTTTAATCAAACTGGTCATTCCCTGAAAGACCTGACAACTTGTGTCTTACTACAAAGAGTCTTTAACACCAGATTACAGAGAGAGACTTCAGAACTCTTTTTCATGCTAAAATTCGACACATTGCGAATGGGTCTTAATTTAGATGATAATTACCTTACACATTACAAAGACAGCCTCCCCACCTTGGGTCTCAACAAAGACCCTAACTATCTTACCCATTACAAAGATAGCTTCCCTAATTATCACCTCTAATACTATTAGCTCACAGACATTTACCTTCTCCCCCCCCACGTCCCTCTGCTGTTCTGAAATTTGATTTGTCCTTTTCATATGTGTTCTTTTTTTTTTTTTTTTATTTTTTC